TTTTGATTACATGTTGCTGTTGCGTAATAAGGGGTCGCAAGGGGCCAAAATTCTATATTATGTTCCCCAAACGAAGTTGGGGAACATATTGTTTTTACTCTGTTTCTTATTATTATTATTATTATTAAGGTCTTCCGTCTTCACGGAAGACCTTATAGTGATTCTACTGTTTCTTATTATTATTATTATTATTATTATTATTATTATTATTATTCTTATTTTTTAGACAAATTTTGTGCACGCGATATCTCGAGAACTATTCATCGGTTTTTCATCAAACTTTCAGGGATGATGCGCTCTTATATGCCATTGTTACATTTGGAAGAATTTTGGAACAAGTCGCATCCGGTGCCAAGTTATGGCCATTTTTCTGATTTTAAAATGAAATTTTGTCAGTTCGAGATCTAAAGAACTACTAGAGATATGAGCTGGAGACTTGTTGGAGAGCATAGGGCATGACTTCTAGCTATGCGGAATGTCCTTTTCGTGTGTCGTCAGTACTTCCGGTCGCTACCGGAAGCGAATTAAAAAAATCAAAATTTTCAACTTTTTTGATTTTCATTATTTTTCTGTGATTTTCATAGGATTAGTAGAGACTCCTTACTGAATTCGAAATATGTAATTTGTTTTAGAATTAAGAGAGCCACTCTCGAGATATTCGAATTAAAAAATTTGAAGCGGCGTTCCCGATGGCGTAATGGTTACCGCGTTGGATTTTCACGCGGGCGACCCGGGTTCGATCCCCTGTGTGACCAATATTTTTTTAATGACTTTTTGAGCTAGATTTTTCGTTTTTATTTCAGAATCGGACGGAAGACCTCTCGTTGCTCGCAACGAGATCGTTTCTAGTTATTATTATTATTATTCTTTTTTCTTCTTATTTCTTCTCCGGTACTTTTTTGTCCGGAAGTGTTCTCAGAAACTGTTCACCAAACTAAGTTAAAACCTTTTTAGGGTTAGTAGGCATGTTGTGTAGATGTGCTGAACGAAGGTCATTTTGCGCGCATTCGCATGCACGTGCGGGCGCGTGCAATGAGTAAACTGATTGATATATTTAATATGGTTGTAACTTTTATATTTTTTGATAAAATGTTTTGAAACTCATTATACAAAGATATATATGTTGTGTACATAAGATGACATGGTCAAATTTGCATGAACTCACGCGCATGCACGTGCGCTTTGCTCTGATTGGCTGAAACAGAAATCTTAATATCTTTTTTGTTTTATGATGAAATGCTTTGAAACTTATATCATAGACATGTATTAGGATGTACTACAATATGATATATAAAATTTTTCACGAAATCACGCGCATGCACGTGCGCTGCAATCTGATTGGCTGAAACTTTAAATGACTATAACTCCCTTGGTTTTCAACCAAACAGCATTTGATTTAGAACATAGATAGACATAAAGAACTCCTACAAGATGGTATGGTCACCATTCACATGCATGCACGTGCGTGCACGTGCGCTTTGCTCTGATTGGCTGAAACAAAAATCCCAATATCTTTTCTGTTTTTTTACAAAATGCTTTGAAATTTAAAACATAGGCATACTTTAAGATGTCCTACAATATGATATATAATAATTGTCATGGAAACATGCGCATGCACGTGCGCTGCAATCTGATTGGCTGAAACTTTAAATGGCTATATCTCCTTTGTTTTTTGACGAAATGCTTTGAAATTTAAAACATAGTCCTTCATTAGGATATCCTACAATGCGATATAGAAAAAAAATTAATGAAATCACGCGCATGCACGTGTGCTGCAATCTGATTGGCTGAACGTTTAAAAGGCTATAACTCCCTTGTTTTTCAACCAAATAGGATGGGATTTAGAACATTGATAAATATAAGAGACTCCTACAAGAAGGTATGGTCATCATGCACGTGCACGCACGTGCGTGCATTTGGAACGAGTGAAATTAAAAATACACTTGAATGAGTAATTTTTAATACTTTTGGACTGAATGCTTTAAAATATAGTATATTAAAATATATAGATAGTGTAGACAAGATGATATGGTCATAACGCACATACATTCACATGCACACGGGTGCAATGCTAAAATTTGAATATAATTGATATTCTTTTGTTAAAGTCAAAAATGCACAGAATTTGTCTTATTTACTAAAGCTTACAGAAAATATATGGCACCAAAAGGGAGTTGGGGGAGCGTTTGGGGAACATCTGTAACGGTTCCCGTTACAATTAGCACTAGTTATTAAGGTCTTCCGTCTTCAGCGGAAGACCTTATTGTTTTTCTTCGGTTTCTTTTTCACTTTTATTATTATTTTTTTTTTCTTACCGATTTTGTGCACGCGTTTTCTCGAAAACGGCTCAACAAAATCTTATGAAACTTTCAGGACGTATGGAACATCACTTGAACCTTATGCGTTTTTTTCCGTTTTGATGACGTCACTTCCGGTCTAGAGATATCTTCGATTTTCTGATTTTCAAGGGTCATTTTGTCCACAATTTTCCCGAAAAACGGCTCTAGATAGAAACTTCAAACTTTGAGGCTAGGTAGAGCTATGTCTGGAGAGGTGCATCAGGTATATCAAATTTACCGGAAGTGACGCTCATCGGCGCTCGCTATGGCCCGAAAATAGACCTATCACAAATTTCAAAATTTCTCACACCTTTTCTTCGATATATTTTTACCTGAAAATATTTTGTGAAAACGTATAGAACAAAAGAAGTGCAGAATATAAAGATCTTTCAAATGATATCTCGAAAAAAGGGCTGGCCCCTAAATTTAAGGGCCTAGAGGGGCCAACAGTTTTTTCTTTAAATCTCAAAACGTATTGAGAATTTGTAATACGTCAAAGAAGCAAAGTTGTTCAAAATGACAAGCTTAATCTACTGAAGTCGTCAAAAAACGTCCGGCGTCGTCACTTCCGGCCAAACCGGAAGTAGTCGAAAAACGCGTATTTTTGCCGTTCTTGACAAGTTTTTTGGTAACAAATGTCTCTAGAAGCAAAAAAATAATTTTTTCGTCCGTTGTCGTCACTTCCGGTCAAACCGGAAGTAGCAAAAAATTGCTTATTTTTGCATTAATTAACATAGCGTTAAAGGATTCAAACCATTTTTAGGCGTTATTTCTCATTTTTGTTAAAAATTAATGCTACTTCCGGTCAAACAGGACGGAAGACCTACTCGTTGTTTTGCAACGAGCTTTGCTCTAGTTATTATTATTATTCTTTTTTCTTCTTATTTCTTCTCCGGTACTTTTTTGTCCGGAAGTGTTCTCAGAAACTGTTCACCAAACCAAGTTAAAACCTTTTTAGGGTTAATAGGTGTGTTGTGTAGATGTGCCGAACGAAGGTCATTTTGCGCGCATACGCATGCACGTGCGGGCGCGTGAAGTGAGTGAAATGACTGATATATTTAAAATAGCTATAACTTTTACATTTTTTAATGAAATGGTTTGAAACTCATTATATAAAGATATATTTATAGTGTAAATAATGTGACACTGTAAAATTAGCACGGACTCACGCGCATGTACGTGCGCTTCGCTCTGATTGGCTGAAACAAAAAACTCAATATCTTTTCTGTTTTTTAACAAAATGCCATGAAATTTAAAACATAGGCATACTTCAGGATGTACCACAATATGACATATAACAATTATCATGTAAACACGCGCATGCACGTGCGCTGCAATCTGATTGGCTAAAACTTTAAATGGCTATAACTCCCTTGTTTTTCAACCAAACAGAATGGGATTTGGAACATAGATAGATATAATGGACTTCTACAAGAAGGTATGGTCAACATGCACATTCATACGCGTGCGTGTACGTGCACTGCAATCTGATTGGCTGAAACTTTAAATAGCTATAACTCCCTTAGTTTTCAACCAAACAGGATGAGATTTGGAACATAGATAGATATAATGGACTTCTACAAGAAGGTATGATCATCATGCACATCCATACGCGTGCGTGAACGTACGCTGCAATCTGATTGGCTGAAACTTTAATCAGCTAAAACTCCCTTGGTTTTCAACCAAACTGAGTGGGATTTAGAACATAGATAGATGTAATGGACTTCCACAAGTAGGTTTGTCACCATGCTCATGTATGCACGTGCGTGCACGTGGAATGAGTAAAATCAAAAATACACTTGAATGAGCGTATTTTTTAATACTTTTGGATTAAATATTTTAATATTTAGTATATTAAAGTATATAGATTGTGTAGATAAGATGATATGGTCATTACTCACACATTCACATGCGCACGCGTGCAATGCTAAAATTTGAATGAACTTGATACCCTTCTGGGTAAACGTTTTTAAAGTCTCAAATGCAGAAAGTTTGTCTTATTTAATGAAGCTTACAGGGAATATGGCACCAAAAGGGAGATGGGGAGCGTTTGGGGAACATCTGTAACGGTTCCCGTTACAATTAGCACTAGTTTTGGATGCTTTACATCTCAAAAGTAGGAATCACTGGATGAAAAATACAGTTTCCGCATGGCTGAAACTCTACTGAAACTCTGCGGAAACTTAAGGTTCCTAATAGTTTCTGCAAAGTTTCAGTGCGGAAACTTCAAGTTTCATCAAGTTTCCGCAGTGCGGAAACCAAAGGTGTCCACGAATCCAAATAGTTTCCGCAACTGAAACTTGCTGAAACTTGAGGTATACGCAAGGTTTCAGTATGCGTATACGGTTGAAATACATATGGTTTACCAATGGTTTCCGCAACAGAAACTTGCTGAAACTTGAGGTATACGCAAGGTTTCAGTATGTGTATACAGTTGAAATACATATGGTTTACCAATGGTTTCCGCAACAGAAACTTGCTGAAACTTGAGGTATACGCAAGGTTTCAGTATGCGTTTACAATATTGATATACATAGGGTATACTATAGGTTTCCGCAACGGAAACTGTAGTATTGACTACACAATTTTAGCCCTGGTTTTCAACCAAAAGTCATTTTCCCCCTGAATTCTCATATTGGAAAAAACAACAACACACTAACACTAGTTATCAAAGAATATTTAATGTTATTATCAACATTTACATACATCGGTTGAACATTTTTCTCTTGCATCATAAACATTTTTACAGCTAAGTCCGAGCCCTCAAGTCACGACAGGAGGACAGAGAAAATGTCTGCATTTAATGATGTCTCATACATCAGAGATATAATCTTGCGAGAGGAGCTTAGAACTGCATTACTGCAATCAATCAACTAAACCTGAATTCGGTTTATGCAAGTCTAGTATTATTAAGGAAATGTAAAATTACTTGGTATAATAAATGCACAAGTTCACATCATAAGTAGCCAATAAGCACCAAGGTGGATTCCTTTGTTAAAAATTCAGTTTGTAGTCCATCATCAACCAACAGAAAAGTCCTTGAGTGGTTCTCATTCTTTGATGACCCACTTACACTTATCATGCTTATGCTAGTAGTGGCTGCATGTTTTCGGAACTGTGCAACACATCACTGTAGTCTGCATGTATGACCTGTTCCAGTTTCAGTTGACTTTAAAAATATCAATGCTTGAGTATAGAGAGACTTGTTTTCATCATTGGAGAAATGATATCATGTTCAAGTTGGATTGATCTGCTCATCAGTTACTTCAACCTATTGAAAATATATATAAATATAGTTTAACAAAATCCCAATCTAAATAAAACAACATGTTAGATCCTCTCGCATACTCGCTTCACAACATCTAACAACATCCCATAGAAGGTCACGTCAGATGTCAAATACAGAACAACTGTAGACTTATTCGTTCCAATTTATGAAATACAATAATTTTGCAGTTGACCATTTGATTGGTTAATAGAATTTGACCTCTGACGTGACACTCTACAGGATGTTGTTAGATTTAGGCAGTATCTAACATTTAATATTAATTGGATGGACAAAGTCCCTAATGCTGTTCTAGTACAAGCTTTTGTTTGATTAATTTCACATTTTAAGCATTTTTTTTTATCAGAATGATTTAAAATGAAATCTAAAAATTTATCAAGTGTAAAATATCATTAGTTTATTAAAGATGCCTCTTTCAAACACTTGACTAGGGATAATGAAATAAACAAACTTGAATTTATTTAAACATGTTAAATGTACCTGAATATGTATGTATAGATTTGTTCCTGATTTTCAGAATAAATTAAGGAATTTTCTTTCATTCTACTTGTTCATCAAAATATTTTTTTTTATTTGAATAACAACTAGAGGCCCATAGACCTAATAGGTATCATGTAACAACTTTCACTCAATTGAATTTGGTTCGTGTTTTAAACAAAAAGCCATGAAATTCCAAATTTTGAAAGACGCACCATTGTTTATCATAATTATACACTTAACATGCTTACTCTGGTTACTCAGAAACCAAAGGTGGATCAGAGTAATAAAGATAAAATGCTATTCCATTTTAAAACCACCAGTTGTGTACCCCACCCCACAGGAACCACTAACCCTGGGGCCACAGATTTCAAAATTTTCTAAATGTTATTTTAAGTTTTATTTCATCATAAATGGTTGATTAATTCCAAAGAGCTATATGGACCAATCCTAGTACTAAAACCCCTGACCTTGGGACTATGAATTTCATAATTATGGTAGATGACTCAGTGCTCATTTCAATCATGCCAACAGTTTGACTGCTTGATGTCCAGGAGTAAAAAAGAAGGGGGGGGGTATCATAAAATTTGCAAATTTTGTTCCCCTTCACCCGTAGATGCTTTGTACCAAAATTGGTTGAAATTGGTTGAGCGGTTGCAAGGAAGAAGCTGAAAATGTTCAAATGTCAACACACGACAGACAAAAACAGATAGTAATAGGTCACCTGAGTTTACTAAGGTGACCTAAAAATAGGCCTGCTTATAAATACTTATTTTAAATAAATCAGAGAATTTTAGTAGTTAGCTTGCAAAATGAGACTTTCTAAGAAAATGTTAACATCTGTTAATTTGATGGAAATGCCGAACATATAAAGATATTATATAAAGCTTAAAAAGTAGAGGAAAGCAGCTTACACCCCCCCCCCCCTCCCCCACAACACACACTGACAACCACTGACTATTATAAATAGAGAGCTTTAAATTATACAGTGAGATTAAGAAAATAAAAACATAAACTTTGTGCTTTAGTCCTTAATTTCCTAAAATAGAGTTACATAAGTTCTTACTACTAAAACATACTTTTTAACAGAAGTATTCTTCATCCTCTCTTAGTTTTCAGATGATTTGTTCCACGGATATCTGAAATTAAAATAGATCAAGTTAGTACAGTACCGTACAGTAATAACTTTTTTGTTTTTAGCATGAGCTCAGAAAAGTCCCAAAAACTACTTGCATGCCCATTTCCTTGCACCTGACATGCAGTGAAAATTCTATTGGACACATGACAAAGAAAAAAAATGATTGGAAATTGTATCATTTTAAAATGGACACAGTCACACTCTGGTCTAATTCTAAGTGGCAGTCCTATCAGGCTATCACAATCTCAATTTACAAGATTTTGAAAAGCAATTATATCTGAGAGTGAGAAAAATTAAATAAGTTATAATTTTCCATAAAAGCAAGACTACATCTAAATTATGTTTGTTTAAGATATGTATGTAGCCAGTGGTAGAACATCAGAACTAACAATCTGGTTCAGGTTCAATATTATATTTATTAATGTTGAAATAAGACGTCAAAAACCTGAAATATTACAATTACACACAACATATAGACGACACATAGACAGACATTTAGACAGATAATTAAAACATAATAGACTTTACTTTAGAATAGATTCTTACCGGGACACACACAGGAATTACAAATATTACTATCTGT